CAGGATTACCCACATAAACAAAGCTCACTAGCTTCCCACAAAAGGTCACTGACATTTATAATAAAAATACATATATGTGGAAATAAATTACATTGATAGATTTTTTGAGGTCATACCACATGATATCCAAATTGGGCAACTCCATACAGCAGTTAAAAAGGTCTTTTTTTTTTAAAGAAATGAGAGAGCCACCAACCCTCTTTCTGCTTCCATAGCTCTATGACAAAATGGTGAATGATGCAACTCCCTGTCCTTGGGTAGATTTCAGCATAAAAGTGCCAAAAATGGTAATTTCTTGATGGTCGCAGCAGAGATATTTAATTAATTGGACACAACACAAAATTTGTTTATTATGAAAAAATATAACTGTCAAAGCTTTGCAATTTTGTACAGGAATAAAAAACGCTTTGGAAATAATACCAAATATTGTAGAAAGTAAATTGTAACAGATTTAGAGTAATGTCAAAGAAGTTTTCAAAACAGCAGTCATGGCTGGACGGTCGCACCACATGATATTTTGACCCTTTGAAGTTCAGAGAAATTACGAGATTTTTGAAAAGTTGAAGTGGCTCCGTATATAAGAGAGATGCTTCTCATAGATCGCTAGATAACTATGAGTGAAGGGGCCCCAACGATGGAGATAAAAGGATCGAACATTTATTTCCCCCACAGATGGAGTCCTATAATAAGAAACAAACGTTGCAGCCTTCGGAAAAGTTCTTGTTACAGAAAATACAGCCGGCCGGATGTTTAGATGTCACGTTATTGACTCATATATATATATATATATATATATATAGACAACTTATTGTGGCTGTTGTCAAATGGGTTAAGACTGCAAATTTAACTTCTTTCTCTCACAAGACAGCGGACTTAATGAAGGCAATTATTCATTCTATGACGACATTACACAGATTTATCCTCTTAAATGTAGTGAGTGGCCCTTAAAAGGGCCGTTTTGATGTACGGTTATCGCAAGCGGATTTACTTGGAGCTAGTGTACTTGGTCACAGCCTTGGTGCCCTCAGACACGGCGTGCTTGGCCAGCTCTCCGGGGAGAAGCAGGCGGACGGCGGTCTGGATCTCCCTGGAGGTGATGGTGGAACGCTTGTTGTAGTGGGCCAGACGAGAGGCTTCACCGGCAATACGCTCGAAAATATCACCAACGAAGGAGTTCATAATGCCCATAGCCTTGGAGGAAATACCGGTATCGGGGTGGACCTGCTTCAGGACCTTGTAGACGTAGATGGCGTAGCTCTCCTTCCTGGTCCTCTTTCTCTTCTTGCCGCTCTTGGTCGCCTTAGAGACGGCTTTCTTGGATCCCTTCTTCGGTGCTTTGACTTGGTCAGGCATGTTTTCTCAGGGTGCGATACCGGAGTAAACTAAGAAGTGAACTGTGTGGGCTGTATTTATATTCCGCTGATGCAAATTTTACCGGGCTATCCCCACTACGAGATTGGCTTTTTACTCACCACTACTGGGCGCGTGTGGAAGACGAAGCGAGACCCCTCCTCCTTAGTTTCCTTTGTTTGACTTTTCCCAATTCCCTCGTTTTTTCACTGAAGTTAAACGACATGTTAGCCTTTAAATCAATCGAAACTAAGGCATTTATAAGCCTCAAAACCCAGAAAAAATACACGGTAGTTTAAAAATGTAATTGGTGAAGGACAATCAAGTAGGGGAAATAAACAAAGAATAGAGCAGGGTGTAGCACATGTTGGACTAAGAAGAATAATAATAACAGGAAGAGCATCATACACAGTTATCTATTTAATTTCCCATAGATCGAAATAGAAAAACGTTTGATTGTAGTAGGTACACGCACTACTAAGATAAACTCCCTTCCCCAGTTATACCAGTTATAACCTTTTCACCATTCACTGAACAGTTTTTTAATAATATATTCTAAGTTTTTTATTTTTCCTTTTTTGATTGAACACGAATGCTTTTTGAAATTCTAATAAACCAGGATATTTTACTTACTTTATATTTTTATTCGTGTATATAATTTCATTTATTTTTATTTTTTATTTATTTTAGTTTATTTGCTTTTTTGGGGGGTTGTAGCTGGAGAAAAGGATTTATTGTTAAAAACCACGTGAGGTCTCAAGAGTGGCCTATTGTCTTTTATACTGCCATTGTTAATACAAATTTAAATGTGAGACACACATTTGCATTTTAACAGCTAGATAACTATGTGTGAAGTGGTGAGGGGGGCACAACGATAGAGATGAAAGGATCGAACATTTATTTCCCCCAAAGATGGTGTCCTATAATAAGAAACAAACGTCGCAGCCTTTGGAAAAGTACTTGGACAGTTACACTAAAAATTGAACTAAAAGGGACTAAAACGAGTAAACAATAAGAAGTATAAGGGCTTCTGAACGTCCTTATCGCTAACTGACTCCACTTACGTCCGCACACATGCTATAAGTACTGATGGCCACGCTGTCGTGGGCCCATCTGCTTCAACGAGCTATAACTCGAAGTTACAATGTCTGGTCGTGGAAAGGGAGGCAAAGGACTCGGAAAAGGAGGCGCCAAGCGTCACCGTAAAGTGCTCCGTGATAACATCCAGGGTATCACCAAACCCGCCATCCGCCGTCTGGCTCGCCGCGGTGGAGTGAAGCGTATCTCTGGTCTCATCTACGAGGAGACCCGTGGGGTTCTCAAAGTCTTCCTGGAGAACGTCATCCGTGATGCCGTTACCTACACCGAGCACGCCAAGAGAAAGACCGTCACCGCCATGGATGTGGTCTATGCTCTGAAGAGACAGGGCCGCACTCTGTACGGCTTTGGAGGTTAAACCTGATCCTGATGAAGTATCAATAAAACCAAAGGCTCTTTTAAGAGCCGCCAAATTTTTTTAAAGTGCAATTCTGTTGTAAATTATCATTAGACGTGCATACTAGAGTCTATCTATCATTACTGTTACTAGGTGAACAACGTGAATTCTCTTGGACATCTCCGCATTAAAAATACGGCCGGTGTGCATACAGTTTTGCATCTCCAGTGGATGGGTACAATGAGTAGTACAAAGCACTACCACAGGATGTCACTGTACTCATTCAGTTCAGTCTAAACACTGCTGAAACATCATCTGTCATGTGCTAATTGGTTATTATGACGTTACTGTACCGTCTTTTGCCATGATATACTTGTATACAAAATAATGAAATTATTAGCTCGTAAAGTCGCATACAGTCTTCACACAATAATTAAGATAAATTGAATCTGCATTATAAATAAAAGAAAATTGCAAGTACTTCAATCCATTCCCAGTACTGTAATTGTACTTCTCCCGTTGGTGCTACATAACCAGTGCCGTTAAAATTACACAAAGCTGTTTCTGAACACCTGCACAAATGTTTCATAGTAAGAAGATCCAAAAACACTGATTTAATCGAGGACACTGGTGGTAGAAAAGACGTGTGCAACACACACACCATCATTAGTTCTGGCACGCAGAGATGTTATTCAGAAAAGCAATGAGAAAATCAGTTTCATATATCTGAACACATTCTGTAGATCAATTTTAGACATGTTTTTAAACGGTCAAATGGCATTATTTATGTCAAATTAATAATACATATGTCTAATTTACATATAAAAGTGCGTTGCATTATTAAGAGAAAAAAAAATCTTTGTCCAATTTGAAGGAAGTTAAACAAGCAATTTGCACTTAAAGGGTTTGCACTATTTTTTGAACTATAAGACTTGGTATTTAAGTAGCTAAAACAAAACCAAGACAAAGTCTGTATAAATACAAATATGATTATACCCATGCAGAATTGAAATCAAATCTCTGTATTAAAATATTCTGTGTACATGGACCATCAAGTCTGCAACAATATATGCCAAGTGATCAGTATGATTTTATTTTCGGCAGTCTGTCATTTACCTAGAATATTTATCCTCCCCAAAACAAATCGTATGGGAAACAAAACCTATTATGAATGTTTTGCCAATAATAACTATGTATTATCCTAAATATGTGGCTAAAAGGAAGTTCTTTTCTATCATTGGTTACTTTATTATAAATACTCACTGAAGCTAAATTTCACTAATAATACACATATTTGCGTTTGCATATTCATTTATAGGCTTCATTCCATTGTGTCAAAGCAATTTATATCGTGAACAACCAAAGATAAATAAGTGAATGAAAATAATTACATAAATATCAATTTAAACTGAAATATCTAGACTTATCTGGTCAGATATTGATGAAAACAAGGGTCTATATTGTGGGGGGTCGATGAAATCAGGTCGGTGAGGGGCACAACTGCATGATTGAACTTGATGAGTAATTTAATGAGTAATTTAAGGGTAATTTTGATAAACATGCAGCCTTTAGATTCTGTTGCAAGTATAGTCTGTAATATAGCCCGTGTGACCGATTAATATTGGGGGAACCAATTAATATTGGTAACACAGACCGCAGTCTGTGGCATGATCTGTCGGACCGCCTGAGTCCATACTCGGGAGAGTGTGTTATCATTCTCAGAAATAATGACATATTGACATCAAACAATTCACATTAATGCCACCATTTTACCACCATTTATTTATTATGATCCCCAATCTATCTGTTTCCTGATAGTCCGCTCTAATATTTTATTCAAACCCTTTTTACGATGACAAAAAGGCGAAATGTAAAAGATAAATGCCTGCATGTTCAGTGGATTGACCGTGTATCACCGAAGTTTGTAAACTGTTCTTATCAAAGAAATGACTCTAAGACTTCAGAAATGAACCAAGGCTGGTGCGGGGACACCTCTCTTACAAATGCGAGAGTTCCTTGTGTTCAAATGCATTATTCTCACTGAGTTTTAGCCCTCAAATGTTGAGGAGAAAACACAAAGAGCCATCAGTTTTTGGGCGGGATGTAGGGGGTCCGCGTGGCTGAGTCTCCACGGTTCTCACGCCCTCTATATATACGGCACTCCACCCTCAGCCAACATCGTTCAGTGAATCACTGTGACTCAACCTGTGAAACAATGGCAGAAGAAGCTCCAGCTGCAGCCCCGGCAAAGGCTCCGGCCAAGGCCCCCAAGAAGAAGTCCGCTCCCCGCCCTAAGAAAGATGGACCCACCCTCCCGAAGCTCATCGTCGGCGCCGTGGCTGAGTCCAAGGAGCGCAAGGGGATGTCTCTGGCCGCCATCAAGAAGGTCCTGGCCGCTAAAGGAGTCGATGTTTCCAAGGCTAACAAACGCATCAACAACGCTGTCACTAAACTTGTGACCAAGGGCACCCTCGCCCAGACTAAAGGTACCGGTGCCTCCGGATCCTTCAAGCTGACCAAGAAGGAGCCCAAAGCTGCCAAGCCCAAGAAGGTAGTGAAAAAGACCCCCACCAAGGCCAAGAAGCCCGCTGCAGCAAAGAAAGCTTCCCCCAAGAAGAAGCCCGCAGCCAAGAAACCTGCAGCAAAGAAGTCTCCTAAGAAGGCAGCCGCTAAAAAGTCACCCGTAAAGAAAGCGGCAAAGAAACCTGCAGCAAAGAAGACTCCCAAGAAAGCTGCCCCGAAGAAAGCAGCCAAGAAGCCCGTTGCGAAGAAAGCCCCAGCCAAGAAGGCGGCGGGAGCGAAGAAGGCCAAGAAGTAAATTCCTGCAACTTCTGACCGGCTTTTAGTGCACCAAAGGCTCTTTTAAGAGCCACCCACATGTCCTTCAAAGAGTCAATCCTTATTTCAAACTATTCCCTTGCTCTTGTGCCACGATATTGAAAATAAATATCATCAAAATGGCAAGCACAATATTGAAAAGCTTTGATGATGAAGTTGCAATGATTAAACTGGACTGAAGTCTTTGATAAAATGAGTTAGTTTAACAGGCAAATTAAATCCCGTGAGTTAAGCCGTGTTATACTGTTTTATCTTGACAGACCTGCTGCTTTTTTTCCTGCTAACATTAAATGCATCTGTGACATAAAAATATAAAGCACCACCAGATTGTGCAAGAACTGATCATTTATTTTATTTAATAATTAATTTATTTTATGTGATGATCTAGACATAGGATAATTATACTCCTTAACATGCAGCAATCTGGTATCTTAGCATCCAAGTGTACTATATCTTTTGTTGTATAAAAAATAAAATAAAAAAGATGATACCTGAAAATTGTCAAAGCATTTACGGAAATACATGATAATCCAATAAAATCAATAAATAAATTCTAAATTCGGTTTATTTGATTTTGGCTTTCTCAATGCTGGTTTTAGCTTCTTTGAGTCCCCATTACTCTAGTTAAGATTTAAACTAACTATTGATTCTTTCAGGGAGGTTCACTTGTGTAAATTAAACGAGTAAATGTTTTAAAAGAGTAACTGTTGTATTTTTTAATTCATATTTAAAACTTTGGTGACTATCAAATGCTAAACAGTCACTGGATAAATAATGCAATAAAGGTAAAATGAGATATTGGAATTTTTATTTTAACAATTTATTTATATTCATCGTTGGTTATTGATTGACTGATATTACATGAGCGTTTTCAAAGTTAAGGACCTCAAATATTTGGAGGAATTCACATATCTAATTAAGACTGTAAATTAAACTAAATCACTTACGAATACAAATAACTATTGTGATTAGATTACCCTTATTTCAGTTTATTGAGCTCTAACTGCTATCACATTTAACGGAATAACACTTTGGATAAAGTGTATCAAAAATATAGATTTATATGTAGATTAGGAAAATTGCTGTACATAATAGAAGATAGGTTTATAAAATGTAAATACAACGTATGTGGCCTAGATTATAGGTTTACAAATTGTTCAACGACACTTGAATTCTTTTGTGTTTCCCCCCTCTGCCCGCTGCTGTGTTCGTCTGTTAAAGTTTGAATATTCTTGGCCAATAGTTGATGAGGTGGAGCTTGTGGGTCCGTCAGTCTGAACCAATCAGAAGGGACCTCGCGGAGGGCTTTCCTATATAAACGGGCCGCTGCACTGCTCAGTATCATTCTTTCAATCACTGAAGGAGAACTCAGTACCATGGCAAGAACCAAGCAGACCGCTCGCAAATCCACCGGAGGCAAAGCTCCCAGGAAGCAACTGGCCACTAAGGCCGCTCGTAAGAGCGCCCCAGCCACTGGTGGCGTCAAGAAGCCTCACCGTTACAGGCCCGGTACCGTGGCTCTGAGGGAGATCCGTCGTTACCAGAAATCCACCGAGCTGCTCATCCGCAAACTCCCCTTCCAGCGTCTGGTCAGGGAAATCGCCCAGGATTTCAAGACCGACCTGCGCTTCCAGAGCTCTGCCGTCATGGCTCTGCAGGAGGCCAGCGAGGCTTATTTGGTCGGACTGTTCGAGGACACCAACCTGTGCGCCATCCACGCTAAGAGGGTCACCATCATGCCCAAAGACATCCAGCTGGCCCGCCGCATCCGCGGAGAGAGGGCGTAAATTGATCCGAAATTAACTGCTACCCAACGGCTCTTTTAAGAGCCACCTACAAACACTGCCAGAGCAACTTTCCAAGTTAAAATCCTTATTAGCAGTCAATGTTACTGACCAAATGTTCCACAAAGATAACCATATATTGCCTGTCATTGCAATCTGTTCCTCATGGCCATAGGTCTGATGACTTGTTTTGTTAATTTGTCATGATTCTGATTGCAAATGATAAATATGACCGTTATGTGTGAATTCTGTCTGGCAGTGAAAAGGAAGGGTTATTTTTCCCTAAACTCTTGTCTGGTTAGGTGTGTAAACAAACAAACAAAAAAAAAAACACTAAGTCATGGTGAGAAAAGCCTCATACCTTTCTTACTGTGCATCACTCCACTTCATCCACTGGTGAGTCCAACTTGATTCACATTGCAGAGACATTAATTTTCACCAGTCATGATCAAGCCTGCATCCTTATGATAATATCAGATTCTGTGAAGCTTCAGCGTTTGCCTTGAGTGGAATGAAAGCAAGTATTCTCGTGGTTCAACTCCCTTGGAGTTTAAAATCCGCTAACACAACTCCTCCTTGACAGTTATATGTGAAGGATTACACTTTCTGGTTAACAATTAAAGCTCTCCTCTCTTCTTGCCACCAGTTTTAGGATCTCTGCTGACCCTATAAGAGTGAAGAAGTCATCATCAGTACCTCGATCTCATCCTTTGTTGGGCAGAAAGTTGATGTTTCCCATGATGGCAGATGAAAGGGCCTATATATCCATTTCCTAGCTTTTATCTTTTTCTCTTTTTTGAATTTTGAACTTGTTTCTTAAACATGAGTTTGGCTTTGGGTCAAGTTGTGCTGTCCTTGTTGTCCTGCTTGAATAAAAGTGTGTTTTTTTATTATTATCTCTAATGTCCTGATAGTAGTTCAACAACAATAAAAACCCTCTCACATTATATCCTTTCTCTCGTCAATTATTTCCTTTTACTCTCCTGGCTTCTGATTGTGTTCAACTGTGTTAACATTTGCTCAGCTGTGAGCATCAATGCATCAGATCCCCTCAAATGCCAGCTGCCTCTTCAGCTGTGAGGTGTAGACAGCACTGTTGGCACACGTGCTGTAAACATCACATGCACAGTCAAGTATTAATGATGAGGAGAATGGGAAAACTTGAGGTGGCAGAAGGAGAAGAAAACAGGCCGTCAGAACTTTTCTGGCTGACTCAGAAAATTAATATAATCTAAGTACTCCACTTAAGATGTGTTAGCTGGGATCAAGTTAGGAAGCAGGGGTAAGCTAATAATCAAATAAACAAATATATACTGCCAGAAAACTCAGTGATAGTACTCTGTTACAAATATGTTCATTAAACACCAGTTTCTCTCATAACTAACTTTGTGCAAAAAACACTGAACGGTAAACGGTGATAACAGTGACATAATAGAAACAAAAACAACTCAGAAAATGTTCCTTACATCCACAGTGTGGGATTCGTGAAGAGTATTTACATCTGGATGCTCACAGCCATGTGTTCCAGCTCTACACATAGGATGGAAAATCCACTTAACTCTTTTGTTAGGGTCAGCACAGATCCATTTTTAGTTTTTCTTGTTTTAAATGCATGACAGAACCATACAAGTTAATTTACTCATGATGGTCATGGCAGGGCAGCTGCTGCAAATGTCATCAAGATGAACCCACAATTAAACACAATTTAGATTTATTAGGGTTTTTGTATGCAGACTCTAAGTAGGTAAAGGTGAATAATGCAAACCTGATTTTTTTCCTATTCTTTGCCCTGAAGTTGTGACTCTTGCAAATGTTTTCGACCCAGAAACCAAGCCCTTATTTTCTTTTGCTGACATATATTAAGCAATGGTCTGTTAACATCAATGTATATCTAAAGGTAAATTGAGGAAAATGATGCATTTTCATGAAAGCAACATCTGATCATGCAGTAAATACATCCCAAAATACATACAACTCATGCTGTATAAAAAATAAAAAAGAACAACAAAGTTACTGCCAACTGTTTGGCTTCCAAACTTTTGATCTGTAGTGTTTATATATATATATATATATATATATATATATATATATATATATATTTACCAACCACAGTGGAATTGTGGTTTGAATATGATTACTTTTGTTTACTATTTACTATTTGTTATCATGATCTATCATGACCTATTAGTTGAAATCAATTTAGATAAGTGATCTAAATTGATCAAGTTTGAATTGAATCAAGTTTGATATGTGAACAGAATAAAGTAATATTATGATCAATTAATTAATACCACTGACCTCATGCACTTGTCTGACTCAGATTGCCAATTTTAGGGTTTGTGGATATTTCTCAATAAAATTCAAATGATGAATTCAAAAATGTCATCTATGCAGCCAATTCTACAGTTCTAGAAAGCATAAATAAAGAAAAACACTTTAGATACATAAATAAATACAAAAAGTTATGTTGCTAGTTAAGTTAAAGAAATAGTTTACCACATAAAAATCTGTTTTTAATTATTGTCTGACCCAAACGAGGACGTCTTATGTCTGTTTGTACCTTAAATCTTATAGTCGAAATGTTCATTACTGTTATCATTTTAAATAGCTCATTTGTCAATAATTGAAGAGACGTCCACAGTGTCAGAGAGAGCAGCTCTGACAGTCAGTCTGCACCACTGGCGTCAGTCCTCTTCGGTGTGTTTGCTGCGACCACAATAACCCGATTTTATCACACACTCATCCTCAACAGATTGGTGTTTTTCCTCTGAGTCTCTAAACAAACACATGGACCGACGGGAAAACACGTTTTCATCGTACTGTAATGGATTTCTGAACATTTAAGGGGAAATAGAAAAGTGAAAAGACGCTGAGCAGCGCAGCTCACGGTGGTCAATCTGTTAGGTTTGGAGGCTCCACAAAGAAAAAAGAGTCAGCAGCAAAGTTCAACATAACTTCAGTCTGAACGGACACAAGTCTGCTATCTGTCCCCAAACCTGTAACCTTTAACACAGTCCCTACATTTAGTTTGCAGACTTTATTCACAGGACAGAAAACACAAGTGACCCGTCGTTCAGACCGCCCAGAGTGGACATTGCTTGATTTGAGTCTTTACGGTTCTCATGGTGTGTTCAAGAGCAGTTCTGTGCACGAAGAGGGTCACACAGTTGATTCAGTCAGTGGACGACTCGAGACAGACAACATGGCAGAAGAAGCTCCAGCACCGGCCGCCGCACCGGCCAAGGCGGCCAAAAAGAAGGCTCCCAGGCCCAAGAAGACCGGGCCCAGCATCAGCGAACTCATCCTCAAAGCTGTCGGCGCCTCCAAGGAGCGGAGCGGCGTCTCTTTGGCCGCCCTGAAGAAGGCTCTGGCTGCCGGTGGGTACGACACGGATAAGAACAAGGCCCGCGTTAAGGTCGCCGTCAAGAGCCTGGTAGCCAAGGGGACTCTGGTCCAGACCAAAGGCACCGGGGCTTCTGGTTCCTTCAAGATGAACAAGAAGGTCGCCGAGAAGAAAGTGAAGAAACCGGTCAAGAAAGCCGCTCCCAAGGCTAAGAAACCTGCAGCAAAGAAACCCGCAGCAAAGAAGCCCGCAGCGGCTAAGAAACCCAAGGCTGCCAAGAAAGCGGCAACCCCAAAGAAGTCTCCGAAGAAGGCCAAGAAACCCGCGGCGCCCAAGAAAGCCGCAAAAAGCCCCAAGAAGGCTGCCAAGAGCCCTAAGAAGACTGTCAAAAAGGCCCCAGCAGCCAAGAAAGCCCCCGCAAAGAAGGTTGCCAAACCCAAAGCCAAGAAGGCAGCACCCAAGAAGAAGTAAGCCGGCAGCACCCTAAGGCTGATACCCTCAAAACAAAGGCTCTTCTAAGAGCCACCCACATCAACACTTAAGAGTACTCCTGAGTTCAAATGCTGTAATATTCTATGGAAAACAACTTTTCACAGGTTACATCACGCGATGAAGTGTGAAATTATGTTAACCATGTGTATTACATACTAAAACGTGTGATAATATTGAATTTGCCTGAATTTTTATTTATCATTATTATTATTTTTTATTTACTATTGAACTAAGCAAAGTGCACAGTTGCTGTTTTCAACACGGCAATAATACATTTTCACAGTAAAGGTGAATGGCTACTAAGTATACAACATTAAAAGACTTCTATAGGAGCTGAGCCCACAGAGTTGACTTACTAATAAGTGCCTGACTTGCCATCAGTATTTTTAAGAAATATGTAAGCACTAAGTTTGAGTTTCTTTTGATAAACCATTCTTGGGTCATGATGGAAGATTAATTTACTGGTCATCAGCAGACATGTCTGCCATGGCCAATGAAGACTAAAGAGTGAGGGATAGGTAAGGAGATAGATAAGGTGGTTGGCCCTTAAAAGGCAACTCTCTTTGTTGTTTCCGATGAGCCGAAGCAGTTTTTCTTCCTGTTTTGGTTGTTTCTCTGCAAATCATTTGCCAAATCAACCAGCAAAAAAAGTGACAATGAACTTCATATGCTGGCTAACACAACTCATCAATATCGTAAGAAAGGTAAGAGATGCTTCTATGGCATCAAAGGAAGTATATAAACAATAAATATATAAGCTATCACTTGGTAGTTTTTTTTTTTGTGTTTGTTTTTTGCATTTAAAAAAATATTGTTTATCACTTCCTATAACTTTTCTTTTGACTTTTGAAAAAGTTTAGTGCATTTGAAAAAAATACTTTTTGCTTCTACATTTTTTTCTGCATCCCCAAAGCTATTATGCTAAAAGGACAATATAGAATGTTACCTTAATGTCTAATTTAACAGGCCATATTGTAATTACAATTGTATATTTTATTTAGGAATGATAATTGGAATAATGTTCAATAACATTCTTTCTTTGTTCACCGTGTAGAATTATTCAGTTCTTTATAGCTGTTCCTTTTTTTTCCTTTTTTTATTGTGTTTAATATTTTTTGAATAGGTCTAAATCAACCCTTTATAACTATTTGTGCACTGTGTGCATGATGAGTGTACTAATTCTTCTGTGTTTGCTGTACTGTACCGACCCTTTGCTCCTGTTAATACCGGCATATTTAACCCACCAGCTGATAAACACGGTTTATGTGATCTTTAAGTGAAATAAAGGTGAACATACTAGGTTAATGGATAATCAGTGCGTTGACCTCAATAGTGAATAAAGGGAACTCATTTATATGTATATTTAATATCGTTGACACCCCCCCCCACTACCCCCCACGCGCGCGCGCACACACACACACACACACACACATACACGCACGCACACACACACACACACACACACACACACACACACACACACACACACACTCTACGAGAAGGCTGACTATTTCTCAAGAGACAGGCTGTTCTTGACTCATGCTGCTGCTCCCTCAGGGGGCGCTGGTGGTGAAAACACTGAATTATAAACTGCTGCCAAAGAGAAGAAGAACGAAAGGCTTCTGTCTTCTTTTAGGTCCTCGGGGCGTAAATATTTAACCGAGATTCACCAGGGATAGCACAGACTGTTAGACAAACTCTTATCGCAACAATGAGTGGAAGAGGCAAGGGAGGAAAAGGACTCGGAAAAGGAGGCGCCAAGCGTCACCGCAAAGTCCTCCGTGATAACATCCAGGGCATCACCAAACCCGCCATCCGCCGTCTGGCTCGCCGTGGTGGAGTGAAGCGTATCTCTGGTCTCATCTACGAGGAGACCCGTGGGGTTCTCAAAGTCTTCTTGGAGAACGTTATCCGTGATGCCGTCACCTACACCGAGCACGCCAAGAGAAAGACCGTCACCGCCATGGATGTGGTCTATGCTCTGAAGAGACAGGGCCGCACTCTGTACGGCTTTGGAGGTTAAATCATCCCGAAACATCAAAACAATGGTCCTTTTAAGGGCCACCTAACTAACCTGAGAGCGATTTCTGTAGTACTGTCACTGTCCATCAGCCTTACAATAGTCCATTACATTAAAGGAACACGTTGTTGTATTACCAATCAATCTGCATTCTAAAGTTTCTAGAATTAAAGTCGTTAGGGACCTATCCTAAAAATAACAACATAGTACTAAAAGTGGCGCAGTATGATAGTGAAATAAATATTCCATATAACCTTCCTTAGACGCATAGCTAACTCTTACGCGTTCATGTCTACGTTTCGTTTTGTTAAATTCTGACGTATTAGTGGATGACTGTTGCCTTCAAGCATTTTCCTCAGGACGAAACACCGCGTGTGCGGCATATTGTCATGAATAATATCGTCTCAAAAAGGATTTAATGTCAGCACGGAAACCGTAGGATCTGATAAAACATAAATTCAACGCACTACCCATTTATTACAGTATACCATCCACAGAGCAGTGCTTCAGGGATGACCCGTAATAAAAAAAAAAAAGAAATTCTCACACCCCAGAATCGAGTGTAGCTCATATGGGTGTTTCTGTTACTCTGCATCCAGTTGTTTCAATGTTCATTTCCGGGAACCTACATTCATATTTTAACAACCAACACCGTGGGTTTTGATAAACAAGGACGTAGCTCTCTGGAGAAGCAGGTGGGTGGCCCTTAAAAGGACCTTTGGGTTTTACTGCGGCGCAGCGGATTTACTTGGAGCTGGTGTACTTGGTCACGGCTTTGGTGCCCTCAGACACGGCGTGCTTGGCCAACTCTCCGGGGAGAAGCAGGCGGACGGCGGTCTGGATCTCCCTGGAGGTGATGGTGGAACGCTTGTTGTAGTGAGCCAGACGAGAGGCTTCACCGGCAATACGCTCGAAAATGTCACCGACGAAAGAGTTCATGATGCCCATAGCCTTGGAGGAAATACCGGTATCGGGGTGGACCTGCTTCAAGACCTTGTAGACGTAGATGGCGTAGCTCTCCTTCCTGGTCCTCTTTCTCTTCTTGCCGCTCTTGGTCGCCTTAGAGACGGCTTTCTTGGATCCCTTCTTGGGTGCTGATTTTGCTGGCTCTGGCATCTTCACTGTCGATGTCGGTTCTGCTGGCTGAGTGGATGGCTCCAGAGTGTATTTATATCACTGTGATGCAAATAAAATGTGCTGTCCCTCACTGAGGATTGGCTGAGTGAGGGACCATTAAAAAAAAAAAAAAACTTTATTGAACGACATACAATGTACAAAAGACACTAGGTAACTGGAATGATAGCTTATCAGTCATCTAACATGTAATATAAATCTTAAAAGCTGTGCTGATAATATATATCATTGAGACAGAATTACCTGCAATTATTTTATTTAACCTATTCTACATTTCATACAAATTAAAAGTGGACTTCTTAGTTAGAAAAGTGACAATGACCTCTATACAAACAGCTGCCTCGTGTTACAGTGTAAACCTTGGTTTCAGGAAGTGGAAAAAATATCCTGTAAATGGGTCAATGACGTATAAGGTTTTTCAACATGCCAATTTTAAAATACCAAAAATAAGAATATCTTTTGCAACAGCTCAAACACTAAGGATGTTATGTATACAAAAACTAAAGTTTAATTTTTAAATAAGGCAATTTTAGTGTTTTTTCATACAGAGGAATTGCCCGTGGCCTTAAAAAATGTCATGTGGTGCGACCATCATTTTTCTTAAAATTATTACATTTTTTCAACATACTTTATAGTTTTTTACAAATTGTCGGTAATATCAAGTACACAGGAACAAAGCGTTTGCATTTTACTTGAGTTTTTGTAAATAATGATCTTATATATTAGCTCTATAATGTCACAGTCGCTATATCAAATGTTGTTAACTGACAATTTTTTTTCTTTAAATTGCATAATACTGATAAAAATGTTTTGAAACTACCTTTCATGTAAGCATATTGTATCAGGTATTAATGTCTCAGTTACAGAAATAAGATATTTTTGTTTGTATTTGATATAATTATTGTTATTATTGGTCGCACCACATGATTGGTGGTCGCGCCAAATGACCCGAAGACCTTGTATCATTAAAAATCAATTTAAAGAGACCTATGAACAATTAATTTCATGCAAATTTTATATTCAAACCGAATTTTATTAACATTTCAAACATGAACACAAACATTTTATTACCCTTTTTGACAAAAATTTAACTGTGTGTGTATGTGGTCCAGAGGCCTGCACTACGAAGCTGGATTAACACATCCAGGATAACTCTGCGACAACTCGCTAAACTTCACCGGATCTCCGCGATCCCGATCAGCTGTACTACGAAGCAGGATATCAACTCGATAACTGAATCCAGTTCAGATCTGTGCGCGCACACGTAAAGGGGGTCGGGTCAGTGCCACCGGACCAATCTCCACAATGGAGAAGGCTGCACGTCATTTTTCACAGCTGAAGAACAGAGCTTTATTTAAACAGTGAGACAGACACAGCTGCTAAAAGCCGGAGGGACTGCCGGCAAAAAAAATCACCGGTTGTGTAAAAAACATTTGTGCGTTCATAAATTTATGGCCCCCTAATATATTGTCATGCAGCGTGTGTGATCACCTCCATCATTGACCTCATTATTTCAGATACAACAGCAGTGGGGAAAAGAGTACGTGGGAGCAAATAAAAATAAATCTAAAAACATCCGTCAAAGTGGTTAGCTGGTTTACTGGAAGATTTTATTTGTACATATTTTATCGCGTAAACAGTGATTTCCTCACACTGCCTTTTTTTCTTTTTTCTCCATCATCTGATGGTCACACGTCATCTGCCGACACATTTGGGGTTAAGAGGAGTTTTCTAATCTGCTTCAATAAATTCTGAAAGATGACTAACAAATTTGAACCTGGAGCTTGGCAAATATTAGTGTATTGCTTCGACTTCATGCTACCTG